CTCCTCCTCCTCCTCCTCCTCCTCCTCCTCCTCCTCCTCCTCCTCCTCCCCCTCCTCCTCCAGGTATGAGCGTCGCGAACCGCGCCGTGGACGCGGTGATGGGCCCGCGCCAGACGGAGGCGGCCGGGGGGGCGCCTCAAACGGAGGCAAGCCCGCGCCGCCCTCGACGCGGTGGCGACGCGGGCGCTGGCGCTCGATGGTTGAACGCCTGCCTGCAGCGCGCAGCTTCGCTCCGTCTGGGCCTCGCTCCGCTCGAAGAGGAACAGACGCCACACACAGAAACTCAAGTCGGGCCTGTCCCTCTACAGAAGGAATATTCAGAAAAAGTAGAAAAATAGCCTGGGGGGATTATTGTTCTAGTATCTTTTTGACAATTTTGGATATTGTTTTACGGGCGCAGCCCGTAATTTGATTCTCGCGAGGTAGACACTGACAGACTGAACTGAACCACCAGGCCGTTAGATGGCAGTTTTATTTCCGCGGGTGAGGATATTTCGGGTGGCAGTTTTAAGCCAGCTGGTGAGCATATTTCGGTGGCAGTTTTAAGCCAGCGGGTGAGGATATTTCGGTGGCAGTTTTAAGCGCCAGCGGGTGAGGATGTTTCGGTGGCAGTTTTAAGCCAGCGGGTGAGGATATCTCGGGTGAGGATATTTCGGTGGCAGTTTTACGCCAGCGGGTGAGGATATTTCGGGTGGCAGGTTTAAGCCAGCGGGTGAGGATATCTCGCGTGGCAGTTTTAAGCCAGCGGGTGAAGATATTTCGGATGAGGATATTTCGGGTGGCTGTTTTAAGCCAGCGGGTGAGGATATTTCGGGTGGCAGGTTTAAGCCAGCGGGTGAGGATATCTCGGGTGGCAGTTTTAAGCCAGCGGGTGAGGATATCTCGGGTGGCAGTTTTAAGCCAGCGGGTGAGAATATTTGGGTGGCAGTTTTATGTCCGCGGGTGAGGATATTTCGGGTGGCAGTTTTAAGCCAGCTGGTGAGCATATTTCGGTGGCAGTTTTAAGCCAGCGGGTGAGGATATTTCGGTGGCAGTTTTAAGCGCCAGCGGGTGAGGATGTTTCGGTGGCAGTTTTAAGCCAGCGGGTGAGGATATCTCGGGTGAGGATATTTCGGTGGCAGTTTTACGCCAGCGGGTGAGGATATTTCGGGTGGCAGGTTTAAGCCAGCGGGTGAGAATATCTCGCGTGGCAGTTTTAAGCCAGCGGGTGAAGATATTTCGGATGAGGATATTTCGGGTGGCTGTTTTAATCCAGCGGGTGAGGATATTTCGGGTGGCAGGTTTAAGCCAGCGGGTGAGGATATCTCGGGTGGCAGTTTTAAGCCAGCGGGTGAGGATATCTCGGGTGGCAGTTTTAAGCCAGCGGGTGAGAGTATTTGGGTGGCAGTTTTAAGCCAGCGGGTGGGGATATTTCGGGTGGCAGTTTTAAGCCAGCTGGTGAGCATATTTCGGTGGCAGTTTTAAGCCAGCGGGTGAGGATATTTCGGTGGCAGTTTTAAGCGCCAGCGGGTGAGGATGTTTCGGTGGCAGTTTTAAGCCAGCGGGTGAGGATATCTCGGGTGAGGATATTTCGGTGGCAGTTTTACGCCAGCGGGTGAGGATATTTCGGGTGGCAGGTTTAAGCCAGCGGGTGAGGATATCTCGCGTGGCAGTTTTAAGCCAGCGGGTGAAGATATTTCGGATGAGGATATTTCGGGTGGCAGTTTTAAGCCAGCGGGTGAGGATATTTCGGGTGGCAGGTTTAAGCAAGCGGGTGAGGATATCTCGGGCGGACGAGGCAAGAGGCGGCGGGAGGAGGATTTCATTGAAAATGGACGACGGGGGGGGGGAGATCAGCTCGAGGGCGGAGGACGCGGACGGGATGAGGAGGCGGCAGAAGGGAGGAGGAGGTGGAAGTGGAGGAGTCGAAGGAGGAGGAGGAGGAGGTGGAAGAGGAGGAGGAGGAGGAAGAGGAGGGAGGAACCGAGAAGAGCTCTGTGCTCGGCGCGGGCATCCAGCCGCCACGCGATGCATCATCTGTATGGTCGGCCCAGCCGACGGCTACGCCTCCAGCGAGGTGCTGCGCCCGTATATATGCTCGCCCCTTGGCGTGGGGCTGGCGGGGGGCCAAGGGGCGAGCTGTCCGGTGATTGTCTATTTTTCATCTTTCGTCGAAAACGCCCCTGTATGAGGAAACGCCCGACTTTAATCATACGCATCAACTTGTGGCGCTCCACACGGATTGCTTGGATCCGCGCTGGGCCCCTCCCGGCGCCGCCCCTGGCGCCGCCCCTGGCGCGCTCCGCGCGCCACAGAGGGGGTGCCAGCGCGGGTCCAGGAAATTTGCGCGGAGCGCCACAATTTTATGTTTACGCCGTGGTGTCTTCTTGTATCCCTGGAGCGCGCAGCTTCGCCTCGTCCGGGCCTCGCTTCGCTGGGTTCCCGGTTCGCTCCCCTGCAGGGCTCGCCTCCCCCCGGGTTCGCTTCGCCCGGGAGCCGTTTCGCCCCTGGTCTTAACTCGGGCACGTCCCTCTATAGTCAGGGAATGACCTTTCGATTATTTGTGTTACTCTTTTTGTTTTTTTGGTTGACCGTGTTTCTGTTCCCTCCAAAATCCGCCTGTGGACATGGCCGACCTAACCCTGGTCCGCTTCGCCCCGTTCACTTCACCATGTTCGCTTCGCCCACTTAGCCCTCGCCCAGTTATTCTTCCCGTCAGGGTCCGCCTTCTCGCCTGCATCTCTCCGTTACCCATTTTTCTTTGGACGTCTTGGAACATTGCGGGGTGCCTTCGGGGGCTTTCCGAGGGCCCGAAGTCGCTCCCCAAACGGTCCAAAAGGCTTCCGAGACGGTCCAGACCAGGCCCTAAGAGGTCGCCAGCAGGTCCCCAAGACGCTCCGAGAGGGTTTGAAGAGGACCCCAGAGAGAGAGAGCGAGAGAGGCCCAATCATAAACAAATCCCAGCCACTAGCGAACACGAACAACGTCCACGACGGCCTAAGGCCAGGGGCCCCCACGATCGCCCCAAGACGGCCTGCGAGAGCCCCGAGACAGGAATCCACGACAGGCCAAGTCTTTGTTCGTCTCCGTCGTGCGCGCCGCCGCGCTGGCTCCGGGCAGGCTGTGCTGCCCGGCGGATGGGGGGAGAGGAGGGGAGAATCGGGGGCTGCAAAGAGGGGGGTGGTGATTAGGGGGGGGGGGCACGATATCTCCCCAGCTTTCGTGGCGCCTCTGCTAATTTCCATACGTACCCTGGCCCCCCCCCCTGGGTCGCGCACATGCCGCCGGCCACGATCTGCGCCCCCCCCTTTTCGACGCCCCCAAGGAGGAGGGGAGAAGCAGGCAAACGACGGCGAACGCGCAGGCGGGAGGCTGGGGCTGGCAGGGTGGGCGGGCAGGCGGAAGGGGGGCCGGGCGGAGACAGCAGGCGGGGCGCAGGAAGAGGAGGAGAGCGGAAGCAACCGCAATCAGACAGGCTGGGCCAGGGGCTGGGAGAGAAGAGCCACCCGCGACGATGCTACGGACCATACGGCGGCGACGCAGGCCAGGCGGCGCAGGGGGCGGTGGGCGTGGGGTGGGGGGGTCGTCGTTTTGGGGCGTCGGGAAGTGCCGTCGGGGACGTATGGGGGGGCGACGTGGGGTGACCGACCGAGCCCAGCACGTTGCGGCTTGGCGGGGGGAGCCCTCTGCGGGATCACCCACCGCCCCGCCGGGGAAAGGCCGGACGGCGTGCGCGGGGTGGCGGAAGGGCGCGGAGGCGTGAGCGTTGCCCAGCAAAGGCTGGGTTCTTGGCGGGAAGGGTTTTGTAGCGCCGGGGACGCCTCCCACGAGGTGGAAGAGCTCTACGCTTTGCACGATCCGCGTCGGAGGTGTGCCGGAGGGAACGTGGCGACGTTGCGCGAAGCTTCCTTCTGGTACCGAAATTAGTGGGACCGCTTGCTGTTCGCGGGCTGCATGAGGAGTACGTTGTGCCGTTCTGCGAATCTTGTCTCTTGGGCAGTAGTTGGAGCTCCTTGCGGGACACGATCCCAGTAAGGGGTGTGTCGAGATGGGCGTGGGGACGCTCTGCGAACTTTGTCCATGGAGCCGTACGTGGAGCTCCCTGTTGGGGCACGAGCGGTGTGAAGAACGTGCCGTGATATCCGGGGGATGTTCGTGAAATGTGTATACCCGCGATTGCGCAGCTGTTCCCATGTGGCGATCGTGATTGAACGGTGTGCGTGCCCATCCGATGATCGATATGGCGCGGGCTCTGCCTAGGCTAAGCGCGCATGCGTGGTTGTAATACGTGTGAATGTCCACATGTCCGTTCGAGTCCGCCCGTCCACCCGCCCAGTAGGGTCCGCCCCCTCATGGCCCACCCGCAAGACAGGTGTTGCCCGCTCGCTTGTGTAATCGGCCGCCCGCCTAATATAGTGTCAGCCCGCCCTTCCCGCCCGCGGGGTTCGCCTGCCCTCCCGCCCTCAGGGTCCGCTCGCTCGCTTGTGTGATGACCCACGTTCGTCGCGGATGTCTTCCACGTGTGGACGGTTCCCTCCTCCTCCCCTCGCGCGGCCGCCCTCGTCATCTTTCGTCCCCCACGCACGCTGGACAATTCGCCTTCGGTTGCACCGATTAGCCCCGCGCTGGTGCGGGGTGCTTCCGCCTCGCCGCGGACGAAACAAAGTGTGATGACCCGCTTGCTTTAGGTCCCCGCCCGCGGGCCCGCCCGCCCGACCGAACGGCGAAGCGACCCCCCCGCGAAGCGAACCCCCGGCGAAACAGACAACCCCCAACGAAGCGAACCCTAGAGCGAAGCGAACCGGACGAAGCGGACCCTGGCGAAGCGAGCCTCGGGCGAGGACCCACCCCCTTGCGATGCGACATCTTCGGCGTAGCGAGTCCAAGCGAGACGAATACCACCGAAACGAACCCAGCGAAGCGGACCCCGCCGATGCGAGCCCGTCGAAGCGACCGCCCTGCGACTCGTTGGGGGGTCGTTTCGACGGGTTCGCTTCGGCGAGGTCCGTTGAGCGAGGCGAATGTGGTCGAAGCTGGCCCCTGGCGAAGCGGCAATCGGCGCGAACCGTCTCCAAGCGGACCCCAGCGAAGCGACACGGGCGCAGCGAAAGCCCGGCGAAGCGAACCCACGCCTCCAGGGAGCCGTCTTTGGCCGCGGGGCCCACAGGAAGCGACTCACGGAGCGAAGTACACCACGCGCACGAGAGGCGGAATTGCCAGTCTGCAGGGAGGTTGAACGATACTGGAGATCGGCAAGGTTGAACGGGTCGCGCGGTACCAGAAGCCACCGCCCATCGGCAGGAGTTCGACATGATTCCACCGATTCCAGCCAGATCCAGGATGGGCCCGACCAGGATCGGTAAATGGGGACGTGCACCTAGTCGACATCCTGCCAAGGTGGTGCACCGCCACGAGGGTGCTCCAGCGGCGGCGCCGGCATCCGCGGCGTGCCAGATGCAGCAGGATCGGCGATCGACGCTGTACCCACACTTGTCCTCACTGCTGCCTCCAACTCGGGCCGCCATGGTGGCAGGGCGCGAGATAATAAATGAACACCTGGCGCGACCCCCAATTGGGGGACAGTTTCCTACAGCATGGACGCAGTGCTTGGCATTGTTTGGCATTGCTCGGCAGTGTTTTACATTGCTTGGCATTGCGTGGCGTTGCCTGGCATTGCTGGGCATTGGTTGGCATTGCTGGGCATTGCTGGGCATTTCTTGGCATTGCGTGGCATTGCTGGGCATTGCTGGGCATTGTTTGGAATTGCGTGGCATTGCTTGGTATTGCTTGGCATTGCTTGGCATGGCTTGGCATGGCTTGGCAGTGCTTGGCATTGCTTTGCATTGCTTGGTGTTGCTTGACATTGCTCGGCATTGAGTGGCATTGCTTTGCATTGCTTGGCATTGCTTGCCTCCGAGAAACGGGCAACGTATCAGTAGGACGCACTGGTGACGGGGAACCCGAGGAACCCGGGGAACCCGAGGAACCCAGGGAACCCGAGGAACCCAGGGAACCCGAGGAACCCTAGGAACCTCACAGGAACCTGCGATGTGACAATAGGAGGCACCAACCTTCAACAAAGTAACAACCAAGTAAGAACCTCTTAAGCAAGCCCAGGTAGGGAACAATTGAAGGCATCGGGGGCGGGGAACCCGAGGAACCCGAGGAACCTCCAGGGCAACGTAAGGATACGAGGCACGAGCAGTTAACCAAGTAAGAACCCCTTGGGCAAGCCTAGTTGGGGAACTTGCCCCTCGGGGCTGGATCTCTGCCCGCGCCCCGCGCCAGGCTGGGGGTGTCAGGGGCAACGTTCGGAGGGGATACAGTGGGGGCCCATGCCAAGAAACACCCTGCTTGCCTCCAGGGTGCCCTGGGTTCGTTTGGTCTTGATGGTTCTGCTGTGGAAGGCGTGACGTTCCCACACCAAGAATCAATTGACGCCCCGGGGTCTCGGGGTTGGGCTTCTTGAGGAATGCTTCTTGTGGTCGGGCCTCCACTGTAGGCTCGCGGGGAGACGCATCAACCCCCAATCCCCCATGGATCAGCGATAGAGGGCCCGATAGCTCACCCTGCCTTGATGTCGGGAGCCTATCACTGATCTATCGGCGATGCGTCGCCGATTCCAGGTCGGTGGTGCCCTGCCCCCCTAAGGGGCTCCCTCCTTACCTTTTCCTTTCATCAGAGCAGGGGAGGGCCATGGGCAGCAGCGCCGGTCGCCCGCAGGAGCAGCTCTCGAAGTGCATGCAGTCTGCCACCGACGCGTCGTCGCAGTGCCAGTTCTACCTGGACTCGCTCAAGGCGTGCCAGCAGTCGGCCTGAGCGAGCGGTGCAGGGGCGCGCCAGCGGCTGCGCGCCCACACCTGGGGCCCGGGCGGCGCGCGCAAGAGGGGCGTTGGCTTCAGTCGGGCATGTCCCTCTACAGCGTGAGTGTTCAAAGAATACAGATCGTCTGGGGACGATGTGTTCTAATGTTTGGCATAGTTTGAGCATTGTTTGAACTATTTGGAATGTTTCTTGGGAAGGGCGCGGGCCCAGGGTTCTCTTTTAGAAGGGTTACCCCCGGAGTCGATTTGACGGGGCGTCAGGGCGGGGGAGGTGGCGGGACGGGTCGGTGTTGCTAGAAGTGCCCTTGGCCCTAGGTGCCCCCAGGATCTCCAAGGAGTCGGAGGTGGATAGACCTCCTACCCTGACACGTCGATTGAGGAACTGGCCGTTTTCGTTTCGCGAGAGGGCGTCGCGGCGTCTTTTTTGCGGGTCCAGGTCCGTCGGTTTCGGTCCTAGGCCGTTTTCACTAAGGGGAGGGTTACTAAAGGGAGGTTTGTCCACCGCCGAAGGAGGCCTCCACGGCCTCCAGAGCACCCCTCCCTGAGGCCCAGAGGGCCCAGGGGCTCCAGGATGGAGCGAAAAGCTGGGGGGCACCCTGTGCCAGGGTACCTCTGGCAGCGCCCCCGAGCGGGTGCACCCCATGGGGTCCTGGACCCCACCTCGAGGCGCCAGTGGGGAAACGAAGAATTACACAGACATAACAACTAGGAGGTCCGCGTGGATGTGTCGGATCGGCGCCGGACCCCCCTCCCTGGCGCGCGGGAGGCGCCGCCAGGGGCGGCGCTGGAGGCGCCGCCGGGGGGCCCTGGCGCCGCTCCGAGAAGTCCGCGCGGACCTCCGAGCTGTCATGTTTGTGTAACTCTTCGTTCCCCTCGCCAGGGGCCTCCACGGCCAGCGCCAAGTTTTGGGCGCCCGCGCCGCGTGAGCTTACAGATGCGGCGCTGGGCGCCTGCCGTAGGTGTTGCCTCGGGCGAGCAGCTCGCCCTCGGCCCACTCTTTTCGCTGCGCGCGGCCTCCCCGCATCTGTCTGCTGGCCTCGCCTGCAAGCCTCGGGCCGTCTCCCGCCTTCGCCCCCTGGTCGTGCCCACCTCGATCTTCCTGGAAAGGGCTGCCGCCCAGGATTTCGGGGCTCAAGAGACGGGGGTCAGTGCAAACGGGTGTCAGCCAGAGCGCCGGACCTTGCAGGATCCTGCAGGGCCAGGGGCGCATTGGCCCGGGTTTGGGTGCAGGATCCTGCAGGATTTTGCAGGAGCCTTCGCATTGACCCGGCTTTGGGCGCAGGAGGTTGCAGGATTCTGCAAGGCCTGACTAACCCGGGTCTGGATGGACCCGGGTCAGTAGACCTGCTTGGCATGGGGACGGAAAGCGCGTTTAGTTTGTGAGGACGCGAGGTCGCTGGCGTAGTGTCTTGGAGCCCTGTTTGTGTTAAGGCTTCGGTGTGACATACAAGAATCTAGCAACCAACCTTGCGAAAATAAACAAATATTGCCGTTCCGGGCCTTCCTGGGGGTCCTTTTGGGGCTCTTTTGGGCCGTCTTGGGGCCCTTCAGGCCCGTCCCAGGACCCTGTCTTGGCGGGCTTGGGCCAACTTGGGGCTCTCTGGGGGCCCTCCTGGGTCCCCTTGGGGACCTCCTGTGGCCCTCTTGGGGCCCTCTTGGGAACCTTTTGGGACCCTCAGGGGCCTCTCTTGGGGCTCTCTTTGGCCGTCCTGACGCCCTCTTGGGCCGTCTTGGGCGCCTGGGGTCGTCTTGGGGCGGTCTTGGGGGCCTCCTGGGCCGTTTTGGGCGCTGTAAAGACCAAAGAAGCGAACCTGCCAAAAATGCACACTTTCTCCAGGAATGATTTTATTTGTTCCGCTTGGGGTTCCCCTTTGGGGGCGATTTGGGGGCCTCTTGGGCTGTCTTGAAACCAGATGGGGCCCTCTTTGAGCGCTCTTGGGCCGTCCTCCGGCCCTCTCGGACCTCTCCAACGCCGTCTTGGAGGTATCTTGGACGCTCTTGGGGCTGTCTTGGGTCGTCTTAGTGGCCTCTCAGGCGCTCTTGGGGCTGACTTGGGCCGTCTGGGTCGAAAATGGCCGGAATTTGAACTATTAGATCAGATCCCGGGTTCGCCACCCCCCCACACCCCTCTTTGCTATTTCTCCCAACTAACGGATCGCGACGCTACCTGCGCTTTCCGTCATCCCCGAGGATTCTCTTTTAGTTTTGTTCCCCCCCCGGCCTCGACTTGAGGTGGGCCAGCGGAATCATGTTACGATAACTAACGAGGTCGCGTAGGGCAGGCGAACTAGAAGTTGGAGGATGCCCCTAGCAAAACGCTTGATTTTTCCCGGAAAGGGCGCGGGCCCAGGGTTCTCTTTTAGTAGGTTAACCCCCCGTCCCCCCTGCGACTTGGGCCGGCGAAATTATTCTGCGATAAATTACGTGCGGGAAGAGGGCCAGCGAAATTATGTTTGAGGATGTCTCGAGCGAAACGCTTGTTTTTCAGAATTTGTTGAGGATGTCTCGAGCGAGACGCTGGTTTTGCAGAGTTGGGGATGTCTCGAGCGAAACGCTTGTTTTCAGAATTTGTTGAGGATGTCTCGAGCGAAACGCTGGTTTTGCAGAGCTGACCGCGACGCGGAAAAACGCCCCGTGCGCAGGAATTCCGAGCATGTTTCGCGCGTGCCGCGTCCCGCGCGCAGGGATTTCGAGGATGTCTCGACTAATTCGCTTGTTTTGCAAGGATTTCTTTGGACTTTGACAGAATGTCTCTAGCGAAACGCTTGTTGTTTCAACATTTGTTGAGGATGTCTCGAGCGAAACGCTGGTTTTGCAAAATTGGGGGATGTCTCGAGCAGGGGCCTCGTGGGGGGCCTCGTGGGGGTCCAGAATTCAGAGGATGTCTCAGGCGAAATGCTTGTTTTCACGTCCCGCTCGCAGGAATTCCGAGGATGTCTCGCGCGTGCCGCGTCCCGCGCGCAGGAATTCTGAGGATGTTGGCAGGATGTCTCGAGCGAAACGCTTGTCCCCAGCACGTTCCGTAGCGCGTCCCCTTGGCACGTCCCGCGGTGCGTCCCCATGGCACGTCCCTTGGCACGTCGCTTGGCGGGTCCCTTGAGACGTTCCGCGTCGCGTCCTCCTGGCATGTCCCCCTGTCAATTAGCTCTGGGGCAGCTACTATGTGCTGAGGCAGCTCGAGCTTACGATCCAGATCAGTTCGGTCAGGACTCGGATGCAAAGGAGGACTCGATCCACGAGGCTATAGAGCACAATCGAGGCATAACACATTGCAATTCAAAACGGCGCAGCACAGCACAGATTTCGGCACGGTACATCAAGATCGATACACTCAGCATTGCAACTTGGCACGTCCCTTGGCACGTTCCGTGGGGCGTCCCTTGGCGAGTCCACCTGGAACGTCGCGCGGCGCGTCCCCTGGCACATCCCGTGGCACATCCATTGACACGTTCCGTAGCGCGTCCCTTTGGCACGTCCCGCCGTGCGTCCCCATGGCACGTCCCCTGGAACGTCGCCTGGCGCATCCCTTGGGACGTTTCGCGGCGCGTCCTCCTGGCATGTTCCCTTGTCAATTAGCTGTGGGGCAGCTACTATGTGTTCAGGCAGCTCGAGCTTAAGATCCAGATCAGTTCGGTCAGGACTCGGATGCAAAGGAGGACTCGATCCACGACGCTATAGAGCACAATCGCGGCATGGCACATCGCAATTCACCACGGTGCAGCACAGCACAGCCCTCGGCAGGGTACATCAAGATCGATACACTCAGCATTGCCCCAGTCAGGTGTCTTTGAAAGCGCTGCCATGTGTTACGGTTCTATATTCCTTTCCGGGTTCGTGGGTCGATCATGTTGAACATCCGATCGATAAAACACATGGTAAAGTACACATGTTTGTTTGCTGCGGATGTCTCGAGCGGAACGCGTGTTTCGTAGTATGTGCTGAGTGTGTTGAGGATGACGTGAGCGAAACGCTTGTTTTGTGTTATATATTGTTCCCTCTCCTGGGGGCCAACATTCAGAGGATGTCTCAGGCGACACGTCTGTTTTCACGTGCCCAGGTCTTGAGGATGTCTCGAGCGAGACGCTCGTTTTCCCGCGTACAGGTCGCCCAGGCAGATGTCTAGCATGAGTATGTGTTGAGGATGCCTCGACCGAGACGCTTGTGTTCACGCGTCCAGATCGCACATGCAGGTGTCCAGCACGAGGATGTGTTTAGGATGTCTCGAGTGAGACGCTTGCTGTCACGTGTCCAGGTCGCCCAGGCGGATGTCTAGCATGAGTATGTGTTGAGGATGTATCGAGCTAGACGCTTGTGTTCAATTGCGCAGGTCGCCCAGGCGGCTGTCTAACATGATGATGTGTTGAGGACGTCTCGAGTGAACCGCTTGCTGTCACGTGTCCAGGTCTTCCAGGCGGATGTTTAGCATGCGGATGTGTTGAGACCGTCTCGAGCGAAACGTTTGTTTCACGTGCCCAGGTCGCCCAGGCGGATGTCTAACATGAAGGTGTGTTGAGGACGTCTCAAACGAGACGCGTATTTTTACGCGTCCAGGTCGCCCAGGCGGATGTCTAGCATGAGGATGTGATGAGGATGTATCGAGCGAAACGCTTGTTGCCAACGCGTGTTTTCACGTGTCCATTGCCAAGGCGGATGCCTGACATGAAGATGTGTTGACCGAAACCCTTGTTTTCATGCTTCCAGGTCGCCCAGGTGGATGTCTAAGAAGAGGGTGTGGGCAGGATGTCTCGAGCGAGACGCTTGTTTTCACTTGTCCAGGTCGCCCAGGCAGATGTCTAGCATGAGGAATTGTTGAGGATGTCTCAAGCAAAACGCTTGTCGCAGTAGAGTGCATCGCAGTCCAACACCGCCCGTCCGTGGGGCGTCTCGTGGCGCGCTGGCGCTTCCCCTGGCGCGTCCTTTGCAACGTTTTTCACGGAAAGGGCCTGAGCCCAGGGTTCTCTTTTAGTTGGTTTC